TATATTATATATGTTAAATCTGTAAACTTATATGATCAAAGCCCAGAATATATAAATAGCTCTATGCATACCAAGTTTTATGCTGTTCATCTTTTCCGTTCTCTTTCTGCTGATAAGAATGCATGAGAGCATCGAATTTTTGAATGCCATAATTAACTTGACAGAAGGTTTTATACCCTGAACTCATTGAAAATGGGAAATCAGGGTATAATGGTCTTTTTTTAAAGTATGTAACAGACAGAAGGAGGCATGGCAGACCCTACAAAGTATATATATTATTAATCAGGGCGACGAGCTAGGTCTAGTTGGCCCTGTCCGTCTGTCTGTCCGTCCGTATGTATGAACGCGTCGACCTCAGAAATTATAAGAGCTAGAGACTTTAGGTTATTGACTTGACACTTCCTCGGTCCGTGTATATCACGCGCATCTCGAGTTTTTCTCTCAAAAACGATAACTACTCCCGATATTTTGTTATCGATTAAAACCTTTATCGAAAACTAGTTATAAATTATATCTCCTACACCTTTAGAGCTACAGTCTTCACAAGTATCCACAGGATCCACAAGTTTGAGATAGTCCATCGACAAGAAAATTTATCAAATAATTCAGTTCCCATAATAAGCAGTCCCACACTGCAGTTCATGTGTGTTTATGCGTGTATGTGTGTGTTTCTTGAAATATCAATTCTTAGAAGGGTTCAAGGAATTCCGGATTCGAGCAGTCTCGACTAGAGCTTTCTTACTTGTTTCAATTTTCTTTTCACTTTTGAACAATTGACAAGCAAATACTTTTTGTATTTACCTTCAATTGATATAAAGTGTTGATAAAAAATTTAAAATACAATCAAAGTTATTAAAATCTAAGGATGTTTGAGCAACAATACCAGACCAGACCTATAAAATAAAGTTTGGGACAAATAGGAGCAAGGACGTGTCGCTCAAAACAAGGAAGGAAGGAATAAGTAAACAAGCCAAGGAAGTTGTGGAGAACTCTTTTAAAGACAGATAACAGCTTCTTGGAGTACAACTAATATTAAAAACCAATTTATTGTATCAAAATACAAAATGTTTGTAGAAAAAAAACCTTGGTAGAGACTCTGTCATACTCTAAGGACTGTTCCCTATCACTGACTCAATGAAATATGACCATTGACTCAAAAGGGTCATCTTTAAAGCTAGAGTCTCCAAATTTTAAATGTATACTTATATGCATTTTATACAATTTCGGTTTTTGTTAAAAATTTACCCCCCCACTCTTATATCCACCCTCTCACCCCTAAGTATGTAAAATGAGCATATAAATATACATACGTTCAAAATTTGGGGACTGTAGCTCCAAAGATGTAGTAGATATAATTTTATAACTGATTTTCGATACGGTTTTTATCGATAAAAACAACGGAATGAGTTATCGATTTTTAGTGATAAACTCGATATCCGCGCGGTAAAAACTGGAAGTCTCTAGCTCTTATATCTTCTGAAATCGACGCGTTCATACATACGGACAGACGGGCAGGGCCAAATCGACTCAGCTCGCCGCCCTGATCAATAATATACATATATACACTTTATGGAGTCTGGCATGCCTCCTTCTTCCTGTTACATACATTTCAACAAAACCAATGTATATATATATATATGTATATACATTGCGTACATTAAACAACACTATTATACGCATAATTATTTTGGAAGCCAATATATACATGTATATACATATATATTATGTATCATCATAAAATGAAGTATACAAACATGGCGCGACTGACTTATAGTTCGTCTTATAGATATTACCCACATCTGAGCACCGTACAGCCAGATCGGCGGTGTACAAGCGTCTTTTGATTCCAAGTGGTATAGTGCTTTTACTATTACCCCATTAACTATCCAAATGTTTTAAAGGCCCCCTAGTTTATTGCTCGAAATATTTGTCAATTGTAGCGAGTATCAAATTGTAATTGTGATTGTAATTAATATCAAAAAGAAGAAGAGCTACTATTATACATAATAAATAAATAAATATCCTCTTATCTAAAAGCAAAATAAAAACTATAAATGCTATATTATAGCGTAAGTTCCGTGAATTTAAAATCTGAAGAATGTAATTATGTCTATAATACATAATATAAACATATATGTTAACATACAATGAGAACTTACATTGTAATAAAATTCTGGAAAAAACATGTACAGATATGATATATATATATATAAGTATAGAAGTAACTTATATTTGGATAATTCATAGGCGACGAGGCTCCTGTTCCTGAGAGTTCAGATGGAATTAAACCCACATTTACCGAGCGTCCCGTTATCCGGCAGAGCGAAGATGGCGGAAATGTAACATTTGAATGTAGATGCGTTGGAGAACCCACACCAACGGTTACATGGTACGAAAATTCAAATTTAAATTCAAAATATTGAAAAAAAATCAAAGTGCCCCTAAAATTTTGATCTTAAAATAAAAAAGAGCAAAGAGCAAAAAAAAAGCAATACGACAGCACATTTGAGCAATTATGCATGCAATCAAAACAGTTGCTATGTATAAGGTAATGATTTCCCTCTGTGTACAATCAAATTGCAAAGGTCCCATGGAGAGACAGTGCTAAGTGAGGGAAAACGCTACAAAATGTCACTGACGCTGGATCAGAAACTATATCACATGGCGCGCCTAGAGATAAGCAGCGTAGTTTCCTCTGATCAGGGCGAGTATAAAGCTCACGCGAAAAATAAGCATGGCTCGGGAGTGGCAACGATTAATTTAAATTTCGAAAGCGGATCGAAAAAGTAAGGCTGCTGATGTGTGTATTATATATGTACATATATATA